AGCTGCTACTGTATTGAAAACACAGCTCCCTAATTTGTGGAAGAAATTTGAAAGCCTGTGAATCTCTGTCTTGCAATTAACAGTACATTGTGGAACCGTGAAAATGTGTAATTAAAGTTAACCTGTATCAAGTAACAAGTGTAAAATTTACAGTAGTCTCTTCTGTAAACTCAGGTGCACTATACCTGAGAGATAATGTATGTGTGGAAAAAAGGTAATGCTACGTTGTCATCCTCCAGACTCTAATTAATCAGAAATGACAGAGACCCCAGCTCTAGGTGCAACATGTGCTCAGGAAATTCAGGTGCATTTCATAGCCACAAGCTACTATCTGTGGGTCTGTGGATCTAGCTGTGGAGGATAATAGTACCACACTGCAAAAGTCTCAAAAACACTTTCTTCTACTCATCAGTTTCACATATGTTTTACTCTGTTTCAATCAAACATTATTAATCTAGCAGCTATTTTTGTGGTGGTCATGGACCTTTTGATGGTGTAGTGAATGTGAAGGATGACAGGCAGTGCTTGATGTCGTGTGTGTATCACCATCACATGAGGCTATGCTACCTGAGCAATTTGCCCAGTGCCTGCATGAAGTGAACTGGAGACATTTGATTACTGTGCAACTCCTTAAATGAAGGGCTTGTAACAGAGGTATAATTTCTAATAATTTCTTGTGGAGAGCATGTCTCAGCAGTCCTTCAACTTCAAGGAAGGCTGAGGTGATTAAATCACATGTCCCATGCCCTTACTACCTCACCCAAGCTAGTCACAGGGAAATGGTGTGGGCACCTCAGTGGTTCTGGAGAATGAAAATGAGGCCCAAAAAGAAATGTCTGCTGTTTGGCATCATCAGAAAACCATCTGGGTTTAGTTTTATGCTAACTTCAGACTGTGCTGCATCTAATTTAGCTCTTTCAAAAGTGATGATTCTCTTTTTAGTAGTCAAGCTCAGAGCACCTTGCAAAGGCAGGATTGTGATTGCTATGTTTTAAAGATCATAGAATCATAGAATACTTTGGGTTGGAAAGGATCTTCAAAGGTCATCTAGTCCAACCTGCGTGCAATGAGCAGGAACATCTTCAACTAGATCATATTGCCCAGAACTACATTCAGCCTGGCCCATCCTCTCAAGGGGTGGCACGTCCATCACTTCTCTGGGTAACCTGTTCCAGTATTTTACCACCCTTACTGTAAAAAATTACTTGTTCGTGTCCAGCCTGAATCTCCCATTTATTTTAAAACCATCACCCTTCATAAGATGAGGAGACTGAGGCCCAAGGAGGAAAAAATGTGTTTGCTAGTGGTCTTTAAATTGTACTTCTTGAAAAATTGAAGTTCTAAAATGGATGATAGTCAGTTCAGTCTTTTACTGTAGATAATGAGCCTGTGCTTGAATCATCTTGTGTCCAAACTGTACAGGTTGCAGGTTTCTTTACATCGGTTCAGGAGAGAGGCCTGAAATTCAACCTACTGCTCACTGTGGATCTATATTCACAGATAACTAAGTTTGGACAGTATGGGCATGCATGATTAGCGCTAATCTGTCAAGGTGTTATCCTGTAAAATCTTGATGTTATATCAAAAATCACCACAGAGAAGAAAATCTGTGGTGGGCTCCGTTCATCAAGTGTGATTGGATCTGGTGAGAAAATATAAAGAGAATGCTTGAGCTTATCCTAGACTAAAAATGTGTGGGTACACCAGACACAAGAAAGTGACACTGATAGACTGTACAGTGCAAAGAACATACTATGAATTATGTGCAACCTGCATCACTGTTATAGCATGGTCTGTGGCCTGTGCACCACAGAGTCTAACCCAGCTGATGCCTTCGGTTACATTAGTGAGAGATGTTTAGGTGGTTATACTGAAAAGAAAGCATAGTCCTCCTAACTTGTGTAATTGCAGACAAAGGAAGGCCAGTAAAATATTTGTCTATGGTAGGGCAATGCCATCTAGTTACCAGTCTACCAGCTGTCAGGCTCCTGACTCACATATAATGCAAACTTGACCATTTTATATCCTCCGCGTTACAGTAAAATGTCAAAGTCCTTCTAGGTCTTGTGGGCTTTTTTTTAATATCATCTTATTGCATTGCTTCCTAAGAGGACCTTTGAGGTAGTATTTTCAGGGTATCAGTGGTGCCTGGCCCTTGAGTGCATTCAGTGGTATGAAGGGACCCTCTTCAAAGCCATCCTGAGTGCAGGCTGAGGTCTGAGAGGTCCTCAGAACTTGAGTGTCAGAAACATGTGGTGAAAACCAAGGTCAGACCTACACGCCTTTGGGAACATTGGATATGTTTATCACTGGGGTGGGGGAGGAGGGAGGGGACGGATAAGGAATGTTTGTTTTTTGCTGGGTTAGGTTTTTTTTTCTTTCTTTCTTTACGTGGAAGTTTTCTCTATTTTGTTCAGAATTGCTTCAGCTGGAAAGTAAGCTCCCACCCTAGAGCAAAAATGTGCCTGGCAAGAGAGAGTGTTACAAGAGCAGCACTTCATACAGTTGATTTTAGCCAAAGCCAAGTCCCTCTGGGAACAGTTACAACTGGTAAAATTTTTTAGCAAGCTTGAAGCTACTCTGAATTTGGGGTCTGAGGAAACCTCTGGGTATCTGCAGGATAGCAGGCGTTACGTGAGTGTCATCATCACATGTAACTTTTCCTCCTGCCTCGATACAGTTAAGGTGGGCCCTTGAACCTCTCAGACCCAAGCTGGAGCAAGAAAGGGGCCATGCTGCCATAGTAAAGCAAAGGCTTACCATAAAGAACATGTGAATTATTTACGTCAAGGAAATGTTTGAATGCCTCTGTGACCCATTCTTCAGGCCTTGCAGCCCCATTTATTTTTTATTTATAGCATCAATAGAATCATAGAATAGAGTCTTTGACAAAATAATTTTTGGGAATTAATGAGGGAATTTCAAATAAGTATCAAAAGAGACTAAATAAAAGTGTTTTAGCAAAACACATATTGATGGAAATCTGGTGATTACAAGCTTCTTTTTTTAAAAAAAAAAAAAAAAAGAAAAAGCTTTAAAGATCTGTCAACCACAGTACCTTTATCTGGAGGAATCACACTGCCTCAAAATATATATGTGTCAGAATCTATTGATCATTCAGATGCAATCATAATTGGTTAAAACGTAATAGTGTATTTTTTACTATATTGTTCATGGCCAGACTTTGGGAATGAGCCTATTTGTAGCCACAGAGAGCCAGTGTTTCAGAATCTAAATAAACTGCTATATTTTTCATGGGGGGGGGGGGGGGGAGAAGAAATAAAAAAAAACCACAAGAAAACCAAAACAAACAAAAAAAAAAAAACCAACCCAAAACAACCAACTCTCACCCGGTGCAAGCAACTTAGAATGTTTGGGCTTTCCTCTTTTTTTCTTTATTTTCAACCAGGGACCCACACTGAACACGGGACAGTTTAGCTTCTCAAATGTCTTTTTTTTTTTTCCTTTTAATCTTGTGCCAGGTGGTTAAGAAGCAGGCAGCAGTGGTATTTTGGTAGCCTGCTTTCAGCATTATTTGCATACCTTTGTATTTCTCCATGGTGATCAATGCTCAGCCATAGCGGAACTTCAGTCGGTAAAATTTATGTGCAACTGTTAAAGTAATTTTATTTTTAATGAGTCTGTTCCAGGGATGTTAATATCCCTTTATAAATATTTATGTTTTCAATATGTCTTCATCTAATTGAAAAGGTTCTTCACAATATTTTCAGACAACTCCAGGTAGTAGGCATAATGACATATCAACACTCTGACCTTTTAGCTTCTGGATTTCTATTAGTTAATCCACATTTTGCTTGTCCATGTATATTACATTTTAGTTTGTATATGGTTTTCCTATATGGGCTATTGGAATAAAGGGTGTTTTCCATACAAACACCTTAATAAACTGGAAAGGAAGAAAAAATGCTATTGCATACTAGCAGCTGTCATATAGACTGTCTTGAGTATTGCAGTCAGTGTGCACTGCTATTAGAAGTCCACATTGAAATGTTTGGTATTTGCATGGTCATCAGTCAGAAGGATGATCTTAAGTCATGTCCAGCAATACAACAACAGCTTTTGATATTCATAAAGTTGATTTGAAATTATTTTGATTATTTATCTAAGAACACTGCTCATTATAATTTCCTGTTGCCATCACTTTTGTTATGTCTTAATGAATTTCCTCTACTATCCATGTCATTTTCCATTGTGTGAAATGCACCAAAGAATTATGGCTATGAAGAGGTGGGAAGCAATTGTTGCTGATTCCATGGAGAGCTTGCTAGTACAGGCTCCTTCCCTAGTAATCAGTTGTTAATGTGATTTCTACCATTGCACCATAGTAACTCAAGCAGTTGCCTACCTACTGGTTCCTTGAGAAATAATCCCACAGTCAACAGGCATTGTTGAGACTATTTTTACCTAATGGACCATCTACTTTATTCTTTTCTCAGCTTCTTCTCGTTATTTTAGGTAACCTGTAAATATCTTTCTTTTTGCTTGTTTTCCATAGCCTTGTTAGCTGAACCAGGCATTTTTGCATTTTTGTTCATTATATTGGAAAAATCTGAAATTTTGCAAATAAACCCCCTGTAGCTGCTGAGTCTGCTTGCTAAAAGAGAGTCCTGTGTAACAGGTGTTAATAACACATCCATGATTTACACAGATTAATTCAATTTCATGTAAATCACACAAGCAACTTTTGCTGTAGCTCAAAGGTGATGTAGAAGATGCCACAGCTAAAAAATACTGCCTTTTAAGTTTTGCTGAATAGGTTTTTGGCCTTTTAAAATTCTGATGGTTGTTACATACTTCTAGAAGAGCCTTGTGGAAACTTGATGTTCTTTTTGTTGTCTGTCACTTTTGAAATAAAACTTGGTGTTAATGAATGTGGGTCCATATATGATAATACTAAAAATATCAGTTAAACTGAGTAGTATTCTTGCAGCTCAGCCTTAGATAGAAACTTAATAACATGTATGGCTTTTTTTCCCCAGCTTATCCAAATCTTTGCCTGAAGGAAAGAGTCTGCAGGACCAGCTTAACTGCGCTTTCGGTACTTCTGAAGGTGGACTACAAGGCAGAGCAGATGTTGTGACCCTCACCTATTGCCAGATTGAAGATCTGGCAGCTCAGCTGCAGCAAGCTCGATCAGAGCAAAAGGACACAGAGCTGAAGCTCCAAAAGGCCCTGGAGGCTTCACAGGAGGCTAATGAAAAAGTTCAGAAGTAAGTAACTTGACTTCTTTCAGGGAAAAATTGCAGTTGTAAGCCAATGAAACATTTCTTCTGGTATTTTGTCTATGACTGAAAGTGTGCTGGTACTCAGAAAAGGTCCCTTAAAATGATTCCTGATTTGACAGCCATTCAGCTCATTACCTATTCAGTGTGAAGACAGTCATTTTAACAGTTTTAAAGCATTGCACAAGTCAGTGTGCCTATCATTACTGTTATGGAAACTGCTTTCTACATGTGCAAGGCACAGAGAAAGTGCTTCTGTCTCCTATGAGTGGTTTCCACTGTCTTTCACCCTATGCCAATCCTATGGCAACAGTATTTGCCTTTATAATTGCATGGTAGGATATTAAGGTTCTCATTTTCACTCTGTTACACACCTGGCAGGTTTCATGCCACCGTAAATACTGATGGGGTTGTTTAGGGGTGGATTCAAAATCTCACTGAAACCAACAGGAAGTCTCTGAGTCAGTGAACAGAGATTGCATTCTTTACCATCATAAGATTTCCTGTTAAAAGGTTACTGAACTCCAAAACCTGAAGTTCATCTCTACTGAAGTCCTTATTGTCATGTTTGTTATTACTAGCATATAAGCCTTTGGAAGTCTGATTGCTGGGACAAACAAATGTGCAAGCAGAGCCTCTTCACAGTCTGACATTTCTCGTCTTTGCATCACATTGATCAGTTGCAAAATACATCTCTCTCACACCCTTCCAAGGTGGTTGATGCTGAACTGATGCAAATTATCCTGTCTGTCTGTATTTGTCTTCAACTTTAATGTCTCCATCATATTTCCAGAGTAGCCAGAAACTGGCCTGTAATATATTGCAAAGACTTAACATGGGTTCTGTTTAAAAAAATGCATTCAGATTTCACCTATTAAACTAAGAAATTAGGTTTTTATATTTTCATTTTGTTTGTAACTACATAAAATGTAGTTAAGATATATATATAAACACATATTTTCAGTTATCTCTTTAATACCTCCAGTGCTTGTTTGAGAATCATTCAAATCTCTTTCCTAACACTTAGATATATTTGAAATTTCAGCAGGTGCATGCTTGATAAAAATTAACCTGTAAAAATAATTACAGCATGTTAATTTTGGCTGAACCTTTCTGTACCTTAATGCTGTTATGTAGTTTCATTTTATTTATAAATATTTACTAACCATAGATGTTTAAGTAAAGGTTGGTTTGCTTTTGTGTTTTCTTAGTGAAACAGTCTTGTTTAATCCTGTGTAACCAGGGTGGCCAGAGTAGAAGTGCAGCCACAACCTGAATTAAAGTGGTGGTCATGCACTGCTATACTGAAAAGAATTTATACAATTTAACATGCTCAACTACTTGGGAGAATTTTGGTCAGGTTAGTTTCATTATTGCTGAGATCAGACCACTGAGCCTACAGCAAAATTAAACAATTGGGTGAAGTCTTTTGATGACAATAGCATGCCCTTTTTACCAAGAAACTGTGGAAATGCTCTGTGCGTCTTCCCAGCACCCGGAGTCATCCACCCCCATCTTATAATTCAACCTGCAAACAGATTAAGCAGCTGAGTTTGTGGAAAGTGTGTTTACTTTGAGCTAAGAACCCTTGTGTGACACTATAGAGATTCCTCTGACACCTCTGGGAGAGCTACACAGACAGTTCGTACTCATCAGCAGGGAAACCAGGCTGAGAATTCCCCATTCCTTTGTAACCTCAACCGCTTCATACAAATCAGTGTTTGGCAATTAGGCAGGAACTCATTTGTTAGCTTAGCTTTTTATTTCGAAGATGTAGGATGTTCTACATTTCAAAAAGGAACTGACAATTTATAAACCTGTCAGCAGAAAACCTTCTGGGTATTAATTGCAGTAGTATTAATTATTAGAACTGTCTTAAGATGCTTATTGTAATTTAAAATATGACATTGCGGTTCATATCCTAACTAGGGTTCTGCAACATCTGTTTTCTTGACTTCCTCTGGATGCTCAACTAAAATTCAATTCTGACATATGAGGGAAGTATTTTAACAGCTATATAATGCAGCCTCTTATTCAGTAAAATATCTGAATAATGTAATAGTTTTTAACTGTAATAGTTTTTAACTGTAGCAACAAAAAGAATTCTAAGCTTCATTAAGAAATAGCATAACTAGAACAATTAGCGTTGGAAAAGGATGTACCATGTATCTTTGTACCATATAATTTGCTGGTGTTCACTATGCCTTTGCTAATCTGTTCTCTGGCAGCACTAAAGAATTTCTTTTGCACTCTTTTAAACTTCATTGTTTGCATTCAGCATCATATGCTGAGCTTGAAATACAGATGTAGTTTCTCCATGGCATTGCCCTTGTGTCAGCCATTTGTGTACCCACCTCCAATTGCTGCTTTCTAAACATGAGATCCAAGTCAGAATAGCGATCCTGTGTTTTGCATCAGGACACAAAACATCTAAAAAATTTCTGGATCCTATCCCACATGAAACAGCAGCTGTGAACCAGAAGGGGGATATATTGGAATCCGCTTATAGTGAACTTGGATACAGTAAAAGTCTGTTTATCCTGAAGAAGGGTGAACATCTCAAATCAGCTCACTGCAGTGTGAGATATAAATTGCAAGTATGTGCTCTTGCCTGTGAAGGTGCTTCGCCACCCTAGCAGGGGTGGTGATATGAAACACAAAATGTTGGTGCGCAGAGAGCAACAACACAGATTTAGCAGCATTTGTTTGAATCTGTTTTGATTTTGAAACATTATCAAGATGCACATTAGACTTTTAAGAGAGCCCAATTACTTTATAAAGCAAGTACCCATTTTAACTGTGTGGTATATGTAAATAAATACATGTATGTGCACAAATAACACAGTATATATTCAATAGGAAATGTTGATGATCAACGTGGTAATATTTTAACCTGTACTCTGTAGAATTGTTACAACTACAATTTTCTATGTTTAATAATGTTTTTAATTCGTAGTTACAAACAAAGAATTAGGAGAGTGGCACGGAATTCACCAGGAGTGTGGGCACAGTGCCACAGGCCCCCTGCAAATTCGTCCTGCTGAAGAAGCCAGGAACCAGCTGGTATAATCCCAGCAGGGAAATGGGACTGACCTGGAGAAGGTGGCTGGAAAAGCCTCTGAATTAATTAATGCCTTTGCCAGCAGAAAAAGCAAGACATTTTAAAACTGTCCTTCCTGCTGGAACCTCTGGGATTGAGAAGTGGCCACTGATATCTGCAATATCGGAGGAGGTTATAATGTAATACCAAACCAGTATTAGCCAATTATCAGTAAAGGTTGAGGCCACTTTTGATGTGTTTTTTTCCAGGAAATGTTGCATTTTTCTGCAATACCTTTACAGCTGGAGTGAAATTTAATGCAATTTGTCTATTGAGGGCTTCTATTTTTTTTCTCACAATTTAATGATTCTAGCTCAGTAGAGCATAGCTCTCGCGTGTGTGAGCACAGTCACACTTGCACACTCACATAGCTGTGTAAGGTGGCAGCAGAGGGTGTACATGTAGAATTTCTATGTAATCTTCTAAAAGCAAACACAAACCCACAAAGTAATAGTGCAATGCTAAAATATACAGGTATGAAAACAAGCATAAATGTTGAGAAACATGCTGCTTGTGCACTTTGCTGAGGTAGTTCTGACTATGAATAAAGCTAATATTAAAGTGATGTATAACAGAAATTATTACTTCATTTATCTGTAACTGTTTATTAGACAGGCCTTTTGATTTGGGTTTTTTCTTTTAAAGAGGAAGTTAGTAGAGTTACAGATTTGGATAAAATCTTTCAGTGGATTGAATACGTAAGAAAACTAAGTGATCTTCTGAATAAACAGATAGTTTTATCAAAGGAAACTACTATCTGTCATAAAAGAAATATTACCCTTAATGACATTTGCTTTACCTCTTCAGGTATGATTTTTTTGGCCATGTAACATTCATTGTTACTGGAACACACCCTTTTTTTGAGTAGTCCTGGATTTCCCTCAAGCATTTCTGAACATGCTTTCTCTGCTTTTGTAGTTGTTCATTTAGTTTCTTATCTGATGCTGATAAAAAAGTCGATCCATGACACAACAAAAATAAAGAGTTCTTCCCAGCATTCGACACAGTTGGAAATAATACAAAAAACTGAAATAAAGAAGCAAGCATTTATTAAGTGGTTATAGTCCCCCTCTTTGCAAGTAAAACTAATCTGCCTTCCAAGTATGGGCGCTGCATGCGTTTCACATCAATGTCCAAGACGTCCTCCAGTGCTGGCTGGAGGGTCTAATCTTTCCCAGAATGATCTGAGCAGTGCAGTTCAAGAACAAGAATGAATATTTGAATAATCACACCACAATGTGAGGTGACCCTCCGACAGGGGACTGACCAGGGACACATATGGATTTTGGGAAGACGCCCTGATGCTCTTTTTTTAACACAGCTGTGTGAAGAATGTGACTAAGACCCAGTAGTCTTTCTGGAGTATAGCTGGTACAGGAAACCATGAGGAGAAGAGAATTTAACACATTAGTGTAAGAGAGTCCGCTTCATTGATGGGATCTGAGGGGAATGTCTAATGACTGGAAGAATCAAACTTGGCAATGAAAACACAAAGCTCTTTTCATCAATTCAAACGCAGACTCTAAAGCTGCAGATGGTTACCTCCAGCCTTGCCTATTCAGTGCAGGGTTGTATAAAATGGCACTTTAGTGAATACTAATAGATCAAAACAAAGATTTAATAACATAAAGATGTGGTGTTCATTTTTAAATGAGGATACAGGTCAGTGTCTCAGAAAAGAGTGAAATAAGTATCTTTATGTATGGGTCTAAAGTCTCTGGAGATTTTAAACTGCAAACATGATATCTTTAGTGAGCAGATTGTACTCAGTACAGTGCAGCTATGCAGGGAACCTGCTAAAACCAGGATTTCTGAATTATTATACTAATTGAGACCATTTGCAACATGCAAATGTTGTTAACTAGTTATCTCCCTCTTAAAATCATAC